GGTAAGGAAGGTGAATTAGAAGGGCTTCTGTCATCCAGGAAAAAGAAGAATGTTTTTTCTGAGGACTTCTACATTAATGCAACAGTCAACTGTCAAGTTTACATTGAAGAAAGAGGTTTCATCACAGCTCCTCTCAATGAGGAAGAGAAAGATTTCCCCATTGCATACTCCATGGTGATCCATGACAAGATTGAGATGTTTGAGCGGCTGAGACCAGCGGAGGTCACGCTGAACAACGGCAAGACGTTTAAGCGTGATCAGCTGTTGTTAGCATTTATTTAATATTAATTTCTAGTATCAGCTGATGTTTGGTGGAGCCACAGCTGTAAAAGCTGCTGGTCATGATATCGGTTTGTGTATGTGGTGAGAGGGAAACATGAAGATGAAACCAGGAGATGTCCTTACTGAATCAGTGTTTGTGTGTACAGAGAGACAGCCAGGTTCACAATGGATATAAGAAAGTTTTTTTCAAAAAAAGGAGCCACATTCAGGTAAACTTGTAAAATCAAATGATCCGTGAATCAGCAATAATGTTCGATCAGTGTTTCAATATTTATATCTTTTATTAGATATACATGTGGTTTGGTTATTTGCCTTTTGGTTGAAAGTAAACAGAGAGGAATTTTTGTTAGTGATCTTAATAGTATTTGTTTCATATTAATTTAATTTTTCATCTAATTGTATATAATCTATTTGTGTAAGATTGTCAGTCCAAAGAGGGAGAGAGGAAAGAGGGGAAGATGAGGAGAAAGTACAAGGTCAGGAAGAACCGGGTAAGAAGACAGACAGGGAACAGTGACAGGCACACCAGAAACTGTTAAACTGACAAAGAGAAAAAAACCTGATTTTACTCACACAGTCTGGAAGTTGTTTTCTCCCTATATTAAACCTGCTATGCAGAATCTGCAAAACCACCATAACATTATCATTGATTGGGGAGATTAAAATTAATGATATATTTTTATGTGGTTCAGCCACAACTCTACTTAAACCTCAGCCAGTAATAGGTAGGCCAACCTTTGGACCGTCCAGTTGTCTGTATGACTGCCGCAGTACGTACATCACATTTGCGCACTATCAGAAAGTGCCAAACAGCCCTGGTGGAGTGAGGAGCTGCAGAGTGCTCTGTTTCTATTCCAAAAATGTTTTAAGCTTGTTTCAAAAGATTCTGTACTGCAGCTTTAAATGTTTTCCAAAAGCACACATACACTTATCAGTGTTTCTCAAACTTTTTACAGTGTGTACCACCTGATAAAATGTCAAGCTCTCCCAAGTACCACTATGAATGTATGAAACTCATAAATCTTACAACACAAAATTAGAATTATTAAATTAGTAAAATTAGTATCTGCAGTAAAGATTTTTTCATACATTTTATACATTCTACCACAGGCAAAGTTGCCTCACTTTTCATAGTTTTTTATTAATATTTTGTAATAATTTATTTGTAATATTTTTATTCTGTTTTGGGAGTATTTTTTTATGTATCCAAAAAATGCAGTCAGTTTACTTTTTACTCACTATGAGCATCATCCATTATTCTCCCCCAGTAATTAAGGTTAGGATATGTATTTTTTTTTTATTCCAATTCATTCTTCTTTTGCAGTATTTAAATAACCTTTATCAGATTTGATGGTTTTGCTACAGACTTTTCAAAAAAGTGTTTTGCATTTCTTTCACAAATGTGGGGATTAAATTGTGTTTAAATGTACAAAACAGTGATGTCATGTTTTGTGACGAGGACCCAGGCACAGAGTAATACTTACAATGATTTAAAAGTGTAATTTGTGATATTCGAGTTATTTAAGTAAATATCATGGCATTGATATGTAGTTTTTGAGATTTAAATAAATTATTATAAAGATTTATGTTAAGAATTTTTTCATTGCCTTTAGTGAGGTGACGAGGAAACAGGAAGGCAGAGAAATGGAGTTACATGAAGCAAGGGTCCAAAAGCCATGCAGCATAAATAACTGAGCTATTGAGAAACATCGACTAAAATATCAGTCATGTAATATGTAAAAGCCTGTGGTTGTTACTGTGCCATTGTTTTCTTGCGTTTTTTTTAATTTTATGATCAAAATGTTAATGCCTCAGATGCATCTAGAGCTCACCCTAACTGAGGTATGTATCATGGATGCACAGTATCAAGACGGACAAGTATTCAAAGTTAAAATGGTTAATGATCAAAAGAGAATGAAGAGTTCATTTGTTTTGGTAGGTTTCTTTCGACTTAAGGTGAATATTTCCTATATGAGGTGCCCGTATCTGTACAGTATATTACCATTTCTTAGACCACGTCAGTAATGTCTGAAAAGTTACAAGTTTGTGTGAATGTATATATTTTTTTCAACCTGATATTAAATTTGTAAGTGAAACTTGCATGATTTATTGTAAATAGAAATAAAATCTTTTCTAATTGATGCAATCAGTACACCTTGAAACACACCAGCGTGTTATAAACTATCATCCTGAAAATATCATCTGTTTGAATTTGCACTGGTGTATCAGTGACATCAGCACTACTGATGCTGTAAGAAATAGAGAGATATTTTTTAATGCGCATCTGCTCATTAGATTGTTTTATGTAGAAAAGAAGGCCAGCTTTGAGACTAGGTCACAGGCTGACAAGAAACTGCATGTTTTTTGTAGAGTATGAGCAACAGACAGAGTGAAACTAAGTTCAGACAGACCTTAGAAAGGGGAAGTTATTCCAAGCTGCACAGGAAGTTTTAGTGCACAGGCATATTAATAGATAAGACACAGAAAAGAGGAACTTTGCCATATGAGGAAGGTTGGTATCGAAACTGTGTGACGTGTAAAGTACCAAAATAATATATGAGACATAGTTTATGATTCTAATGTTAGAGATCCTGCAACTGGCGTTTGGGCTGTGCAGGGGTCTCTCTTCCGGAAGATGATTGAATAATGGAAATATAGATGTTTTAACACACTATGAGTCGGTTTTCTCTGATCTATCATGGGGACACAAGAAATAGATGTAATAGGCATAACCTCCCAGGTAATGTTTTTGTCTCCGCCTTAGCTTGACACACCTCCCCACGGTGCAGCCTCTCACCATTTAGTCGAACTGTAACCTGCAAGACAAAGTCACCTGTGTGGCAGTCCCCTTCAAACAAGGATATGTATTTTACAAAGGGTCGTATGTTAAGAAATCTTTTTCTTACCTTGATGGTTTTGTTCCTTTCTTTCGCTCTTTGGAGATTTGGCTCTGAACAGTCATCGTCTGATCTGCAAATACCTCCTCAGTTCTCAGCTGATCTGCCTGGTTGTTCGACTATTATCAC